AGAACCATGGTTGTACATTACCCGGCTTTGCTACAAAACAATGATTTTGCAGGTAAGTATTTCGACTGCTAGGTCGCTGGTAAATGATCAGTTTTCAAACATTTCATGGCAAACATTATAGTCGGGTCAACTTTATTAGCGAATTGGGTTTCGGCTAGTTATATATATATACCACGTTGTTTAGCAATTTTCTGTAAAAATGAAACATAATCATCAGTAACTTTTCGGCGCAAAGGATGTCAGTACCGCTAATCACTCGTCATTTGTATCATCATAATTCAACTTTAAATGCTTGTGCTTTTGTCATTTATCCCTCAATGCGACTCTACCTTTTGTGCAGGTTTTTACATTAAATATGCCGACAAATTTCGACAATAAAACCAGGGGAACGGTCAAGATATAAGTGATGGTGATTCATACCCCAAGATGTAGCTGGAGAGCCCATTTTTAGGTTGGCTGTTGTCACCAATTCAGTTGCATTGTTGATGTCATGACGATGCCACGGGCGACGCCCTCAGTGGTGGAGTTCACATGCTGTCATGACAACGCTTGCAAACTATTAAAAATATTGGTTGAACTACTAACACTGTCGATTATAAAAATGAACTGTTCTAGCGTAACTAGGTGGAAGAGAACCGGGAACACACGGCAACGATTGTAGTTATAATAAATACCTGGCTATATTATACTAGTGTCATTGTGACTAAATGGCGCGTATTTTACCACGGTAAATCCACAGATCTGATTGGAGGCGCCTCTAAAGCACACATCCAATCAAGGTTGGCGTAACATGTGACAACTGGTCATAAATATAATGTAGCGTTTTGTTGCCGATCGCGAAGTATCTCCGATGCAAGATTTGGCGGCCATTCCACAGTTCCTACATGCCAGGATTGTCTTCAGTTTGTGGTCTAGTACTGAACAACTAGTTGGGGAACTATCACTTGATTCGGTTGCAATACGCATTTGGCGCAGATACCGCAGTCGATTCCATGCGTTCATTCCTTCAATGCACAGCACGGTGACCGGCACGAAGCCTCCACCTCGAGCATCGGTCGGTCTGTGCAAAATATTGAAATAGCATTCCCAATACCAGTTTACAGTTCTTTACCCCAGAAACATGTAGTTGCTTTGTTTTCAAACATGTGACGGTTGAAAATCTATGTTCACATTATACCGAGAGCGTATACCTTGCATCATACACATGAATATTACCGTGCATTTCAAGGTGGTCATACATGTGTTTCTTTAGTATACTAGTAGTAGAAAGGGCGGGGGGGCAATTAATAAAATGAATTTATCTAATCAGTTGGATTTTTAGCCCTCATGTAACAGATAGTAAAATGTCAATTCAATCTCTGGGCGGGAAGAAAATGTCTACAGTACAAATTTGCCCGTGGTGTAGCTATAACAAGCAATTTGTCGGGACAAATAATTGAAGATATTATTGTTTATATCAAAATAACCAAGGATTATATCTGAACATATTGCTTCTTTTATGTCATATGACTTTTTGTCCTTGACGTGAATAATTATTCCGTCAGAGGGGCTATCCAAACCTGGTATATTTTTCAGTGGCGGCGGCACCGGGGGGGGGGCGTATCCGCCCCAAAACGAAATTCGCCCCATGCACAATTTCGTGCCGTCGCCTGTTATTCCTGACTGAAGACATACCTCGCTTGAGGCAGTAATGCTAAAGCGTCTATACTGTCCGAGGCTTTCGGAGTTTACTTATTGTCAACTGTCGTTTCATGTTTAACAATATGTTAGAATGAATCACAAAAACCTACCTAAATATACAAATATGCTTGAATGTAGCCTAACATAGCATTTTGTCTTTGTCATAGCAAGGTACCTTCTCATATATGTATATATATATATATTAAGTTTTAGGATTACATGTATTACTATCAAGAAATATATACTCCCACTGGCATTGCGACTAACTGAAATTAACGCCAAATATTGTCAGGATGATGGCCTTAAACTGCCACAAGGTCACACACTCTCATCAGTTCATCAACATATGAAGAAAAAACATTTGTGTAATCTTTGAAATCTAAAATATTGTTACATGATAATCTTAAATGGCTCGAAACAACAGATCAAATGGATAATTACACGAGAGGTGCAAGTCTGTAATGACCGTGTTGGTACTAGAACGCGTGTATGGATTTTTTCGGTCGCATGAAGCCTTGTCTAATTTGTTCAATGCGTTTTCCTTATAAACTATAGCAGTTTCTGAAAGAACGATACAAGCTTTTTCCATTAAATTAAATCCACACTGTTACAAAATGACACGAGTCACCTGCAAGTATTGGAATTTAATGAATGTGTCCATCCAAGCATAGTGCACACACATAAACAACATTCCCGTTCCCTTGCACGTAAGTTTTAACTGCTCAACTAAGTTTAAATCTAAAGAATGCCAAGCACGCTCCAACCCGTTGAAATTGGTTAAAACGTAGTCGTACTCCGTGAATTCAAGCAGCTAATCAAATGACGTTAATATTTGTGTAATTGCCGTGTGGGTCACGTGACGAACGGTTTTGTGACGCAATGAATGCATTTAATCTTAATTGCATCCTTTCTACCTGGTTATCCAGGTAACAAGGGCAATTATTAAAACCATACAACACATGAAAGGCACAAGCGATTTACTTGGTTCAAGAATATAGATTAAAAAATATATTACTATAAATAATTTCATTATAGAACCACACTCACATTAAAAACTGGTATCCGTATCCAGGAAGATTCGTTATGGTTTTAATAATAAAATCTGTTATCGTAATTTCTTACACACAGTTTCAACCCAACATAAGACATAACATAACCTTACGAAATTGCCACCGCTGTGTTCACTCATCAAGTTGTTCATTATTGCTCGTTGGTTTATCCTGCTCATAAACAAGACGCTGTCGCCAGGCAACAGTTATGCAGAAAACATATCAAACGATATATTAGCAATGAAGCCAGGATTTCAATGGCCTGTACCAGTGTGCTCAGAATAGTATGCATGCACTTTCCCGTCGCGAATAGCTTAATGGATATGTTCATTGTATATGCAGGAAAATTTTATCGTATTCTGGTCTAATTATACATAGCTTCAGAATTAACATGTTTAATATTTAAATGTGGTCATGACGTATGTTAGTTATTCGAGAGGCCCTGTTATAGGATGTAAAAAAACAGCCAAAAAATATGCTCCCAAAATGATAAATATTTAGTTTTATCATATTTTTGAAGAATATTACATTTGTATATTTAGTTCATACGCTAAACTAAACACTGCTAACATTAAATCACTTTAATGAAATTGCATAGTTGGTAGTAGTTTTATATTTTTACATAATAATATTATCATTTACATATTCATATTTTACATATTTATATTATTCAGATACTATGTTTTTAAATGGTGACTGTTATAATTTATTACAAGTTTTGTGTCGATATGTTTCTGGACCAAGGAACTTTCATTGATTATTACCATACAAATTCTACAAAATATCCCGTCCGTCCAAATCTTAATTTTTGTTTAAAATTATTGCAATGGACACATTAACATAACTCTATCTACGGCTGTTACGATGATCTCGCTTTGCGAAGGAGCATTATCAATAAACTAGTAAAACAATCTGTTATACCTATCTAACTTATTCTTCCTACAAAGATTTAACGAAACTCTAAGTACTTCGGTTGACTGAAACTTTAGGTTAACTCCCCCGTAACGCCTAGCCGCTAGTATTTCACAGTGCTCTTCAGCGTTGTGTAGCAAAGTGGTTCTATTATTAACACGCCAATAAAGTGACACTTGTGAACACAATGCCGTCATTAATAGCGCTAATAAAGTAGAGGAAATCTCGCGTGACCTTTCAGATTGCCATGAGAAGACCTTTTTAATTACATTATGCAAATTTATATTGAGCATTGTGCATAGAGAAGACTCGCACCTGCGTTCGCTATTCACGCAGAGTAAAAAAAACACGTTATCGAACTGCAAGATGCGCCTGCACGTTTATCGGTATCCTACACGCTATATGTTGAGTAGAATAAATGTACCGTATCAACCAATGTCAAAAGGAAATTATATATCTTGCTTCTGTTAAACGTCGATAAACAACATCGTCACATATATCCGTCGACATCAGAACAAGAAACAACTTACCCATTTCATTTTAATTGAATAACAAACATACTTGTCGTTTGCGTATTGCCGCAAACTTCAGTAGATGCAGTTACTTGAACACTTTGGACTAAGTAACCTTATTTGAACAAACCGTCAATTATTTCTATACAATTAGGGAGACTCCGAATGAGTCAACAACTTGAAGGAAAGTGGTGGTTTATGTGTGTGTGTGTGTGTATTTCAAGTTGAAAGATGACGAATTGCACTGTAGCATATAGTGGTTATAAATGACAAAACGACTGTGTCTATCACATCGATGTATTGCTAATCTTTCGTACGTGTCTGTCTCCATGGAAAGTATTAAGGCGCCGTATTTCTTCATACTTGATACTAAGCCTTGTTCGAGCAGTTTGACTAAAGTGAATTGCTATATATTTTTAAATTGTCTTGGGGTGTTGCTTTGCGCGAAGTCTCATATTGTTTTTGTTGGTGACGCAACATGGGAAACGCCACAGTCGTGGGACAGCACACGTTCGAACCAACTGTAAACACGTGATATTTGTAGTCGTCGTATGGAACCCATGTCGACACGAAGAAAAATATAGCCCTTTAATCACACTATTTTTCCCAACCACGAAGTCCCAGAGATCTTCAATCATTCCGTTTTCCGAAATAAAGCGCGAATACATATGTTGATATAAAGTATCCCTTGAATAAAACTCCGACTAATTATATAAAAATAAAGAAAAACGCTAACCGAAATGGCTTGCTTTATCTTGATACCCACCATCGGACGTTACTGAGGTAATTTAATAGTTCAAAGGTCACGTGCTACTTACCTACCCTTTCAAAGATTCGAGAAGTATGATGTAATGGCTACCTTGCGATTAAGAGAGCAACTCCATGACAGCGTATTGTGCCATACCGTCGCTGGCGATGCTCCCCTCGCCAACAAGGAGCACTCCACCTGTATTTCGGGTGACACTAATACCACACACCGAGTTCTTGCTGTCTGGATGAATTGTACAAAAGTCAGCACAATGAATAGACTGCACGGTGATCATGTTGAACGCACGTGAGGTCAGATCTGGCAAAAGTTTACCGCATTTGTAGAGTGTTGCGTGGTCATGCATTACGAGTCAAGTTTGTAATGATTTCAGGAGTTTATCTCCCCAAAATGTATAAATCGTTCGTTACGTATGAATATTGATAAATGTTTACCTTATCCGAAATTGTCCACTTTCGGAAATGTCAAAGTGTAGTAAAACCCAATATACGTGATGTATGTTAGGGTATGCCACGAGGTGAGCAGTTCTTGAAGAAAACGCCTTTTGGAAACGAAAGGTTTTGAGTCTGTACGTCAATATATAGGAGTCAAGCTGTAACACGATACTGGACCACAGCGAACTGGTTAATGAATAGAGGTAGAGGTAAATTCATAACTTACACGCTTGTGATAACGATGTCTTTTGTGTCAAGAAGTTTTTATTTGCAATGTGTGGTGGGTCTGGTGGGTTGTCATCGTGTTGACAAGAACAAGTCGCTACAGTCACTCCATGTGTGCTTAAGAAGCTGTTGTCTGACGTTTTTGATACTACGCCGGTAGAAAACTTGACCTTCGCTGGTTATAAATTATTACATTGCGTAGTGAGATGTTTTAATTATTCTTAACTTAATTATTTGAAGTTATATATGTGGTATTTTAATAAAGGAATACGATCCATGGCTTCTGGAAAGCAGTGCCGTATTTATATTGGGCAGTGTGCTATTCGTGCTAACATATAGTGTATTGTGCAATGAAAGTCGAGTATTCGCATTGGGAGCAAAGGTCGATCATGATGTCAATTCCATTCTTGTTTACCCATGGTGCATTACGAAGTGGCAATAAGCTTTAAACAAAATAAGTTCAGGTCGTTGAAAAACTGTCACATGTGCACGTATGATTGATACTAAAAATGCAATTTCTCATTATGAAATATTAAGTAAATCCATGACAACGTACAACGATTTTTTAATGATAACTGACTACGGTGGACCCCTTTCAACGGCTACTCACTATGACTCGTACGTTAATAGTCGCATTGAAGGCTACCTATATTGTATGGACCGCTCTTGACCTGTCAAGTAATCTGAGTAATTTACCAAACGTGACAACTGCAGTATTCGCAAGCTATGTGGGTCAGATATTTTTGCCAATAGACGAAAATTACTCTTTCCATAGACTCTTTTGTGGCTGGGTTCTCAGCATCTTAGACATCTTGTCAAAACCATACGCTGGATTTTCTTAACGACGAGCGGTCACAAAATCAAACGAAAAAGTGAACGATTTGCAATTAGGTTTGGTCTGTCTGATACACTACAGCATTTATGAATTTACAATTCGAATATTTTACTTATTTCACCACTACTTCTGCGATAACACCGAATAATATATACTTCCTAGGTTAGTTGGTTCAGATGCTCACCCAAATCAGAATTGCATGACGAGATTTGTTGTAGTGAGGTTTCGTGATTTTCTTTTCTTTTATTTTAATATAATTTATACTATAGAAATTATGGGTTATTTTATTATATTGCTTGAAGGCATGGCTGAAGAAGTGAAATTTATGTGAACTTGAACTGTGACCTTCCGATGATTAGCGAAAACAACACTTGTGTGTTATTCGTCATTACGATGACGTTTGCATGACGGAAGTATCTATAATTGCTTTGGGGGCTGGACCACAGTTAACACTCACACTCTTGATTGACACTTAAGATGTGACAATAATGACGTCACGTTATGGGGATCTATGTCTCACGAATAATCACCAACAATTACAGTATTAACTTTGATAATCATAAGTTATCATCAACTTACAAGGGATGTGATTGGTGCGAAGTATAGTGAAGCACAGCCAATCTAATTGGTGGATTCCTAGAGTGTCTAAATGTAACTTGTCGTTGTAATGTCGTTGGCTAACAGGAATACAGAGAGAGTCCTTCGCAGACGTCCGTGAGTGGCGCCCAGGTCGATGCGGGGTTGACGTGAGGCGACTCTACTTGCCGGAGAGTGAAAAGCATAACTGAATATATCTGCTGCGTGTAGTTATTGGAAGAAAGGACGTACAGCCAATATTTCGCAATGAAATATAATGTTCATGGCGCGGTAAATAGAATACACAATGATCCATCGTACCTACCATGTAGCGACACGAAAACTATATCACAGAGTACAGAGGCAACCTAGCTGATATGCCATAACGATGTCAAGTTTTGACCAAAAAATCCTGCGAACGCAAATTAATATCTCATCAACGCATAAATTACATTACATTACATTACATTACATTACATTACATTACATTACATTACATTACATTACATTACATTACATTACATTACATTACGGGAGGTGATGTTGCATCTGCTTGCGCTAATCGTGGGAATAAGTTGCAAGCGAGATCACCTTACTGATCCCATTTCCATTCTACGCATACCTGATAGAATACAATTGCTTCGATATTTCTCAGACAAATCAGACGGACCCCACGTACAGGAAGCAGTGCGGCGCTAAGGAGAGTGGTCTATTGAAGTGGGCATTGCTGAGCGCCATTTTATGCACTAGGAATATGTGATTGTCATGCCATGCACCGTGTACACAGTCTACCTGGCTGCCACGCCGACAATTGAACGCACCTGCCATAAAGAACCATTCAAAACGAATGCAGCGGGATACAGCTTCGAGCATATATTTAAATAATGATTATTTCTAAGTCTAGGTCCCATGGAGGATACGATGACAATAAAAAGTACAATTACTAGACATTTAGACTAACTTGGACCGACACATTTGAAAGTTACGGCGTTCGTTAGTTATTTTGATCAAAACTATTTAGTAACTTGGATCCCGACAAATCTGAAACTTACAGCGTTCCCGGGATATCCTGATCTTGTCGCGTACACGATGATGTAAATCCCGGTTGTTTGATGCGTTATTTTGATTACAGATATTAACATCTCGAAAATATGACGGGATGTGAAATGATTGTGTTGCGAAAAATTCAAACCATCAGGTAAGCCACAGGGAGCCCAGGAACTATAATCAACTGTATGAGCG